AAATATGCGTCCAGTAGTGAAAGCATGACATTTAGGGAGAAGCTGGTCAGGGGCATGAACAATACAGTAATGAGCGCAGTCACCGTAGGACAAAGATTAATGCTTTATTCATAGGTATGGTACAATAAGAATTGCTTCTTAAAATTGATAATGCAACAAATTAATGATGCAGTGAACGTAAGGAAAACATGCTACTGGGTTGTCTGGACAAGGCACGCACATCTTTCCTACCATGCACTTTACGGGATATTCATGGACAGTTTTCTGGTTTAGACTCATGCATTTGATCCAATAATTTGGATTAATACTATAATTTTATAAGTGCTTGTGTTTCAGAACTGATTTAGGAATGGAGGTGTAAAACAACCAACATCTGACTAAAAGTATTGAAAAATTTAAGAGCCACCATAATTGTGTTGCAAATTTCTTCTTTATTTTTGGATAAAGTCTGCAGGGAAAAGAATTGTTCAGAATATCAAAAAGGAATAATTTAAGGAACATCCTTGAACCAAAGTGAGTTTATCCAAAATGTCTTGTCTGTAGGAAAAGAGACTGAAATAAAGAGTCTTTAAATATAGCCATGCTATAAGGAGGGAAGAAGAAAGGTCTTTTCACTTGGAAAACCTAAGCAAACAGTAACAACCAATGCTTTATGAAATTATGTTTCACAAGTAGTAAAACCAGATACTCAAATACTAATGTGTAGACCTGAAAAGCATTTTTGGTAGTGCAGCGTTTCCAGACTCATAAATGCAGAGGGGAATATTTTTTCTGTATTATTTGGGAATGACCTGCATTTCAGCAAGTGGGATTTTAAAATTTTTATTTCGTCTTTATTTGTCATGGAACAAGACACAATGGGTAGCTGTTACTATGCTATTGCAGATGCTCCTGAAATGTCAGCTTTCTTCTATTGATGTAGTGGGCTGCCACACATCTTCACAAGATGGATAGTAAATGCCCATTTACACATTCATGTTTGCATCATGAATTCAGGCTTTTTTTTAATGGCACAAAATATCCATCATGGAGGATTTGGGGGTATATTGTGTTACAAGGACCCTGAAATGAAAACAGCTAGCACAGCTAGGAATTAACCAAATTGCTTTCTCTCTTTATTTCTGGACCAGCATAACTGAATGAAGTAGGTGACATTTGGATTTCTTTGCCATGATGTCACTTGCTGTTTTGTGGACAGCTTTTTATTGTTAACCCCAGGATTGGGGTTAATGTTTCATGCTGCGTTGAGCTGGAAGCATAGAAACAAGCTCAACAAAGACGAGAGAAGAAAGCAAACGTTCATGACGTCTTCCTCTGAACTGCGGTCCAGAAACAATCTATTGCCACT